ATATATTTCTGATTGGTTTGCTATGGGTTTTCTATATTTTTACTTTGCTTTATTTGTTTTTTAGTAGTAAAAAATGCAGAATAAGCAAGGAATATAAAAAAATATTAAACATTTTTTATTATATAATAAAAATAAGATTTATATTTGTTAGATTAGATAAATTATTGTTTTAAATTATATCTTAATATTTTTTTTATCTTTTTATTCCCAAACCATATGTATAGCTAAAAATTTGTATTTGTATTTCTAACTTTAAAAGCTAGAAAATGAAATGCCAGTAGCTCTATTTTATAATATCTATAAACCTTTCGGTTTTGATGATAATTGCTGCTATAAAATAGAATTTACATACACATATATAAATGCTGCTTTATTCAAAACCGGATTTCTAGCTATTAATTCTGAAACTCTTTAATGGAGAGTTATGAGTGGGTTATGATATGAATGGTGGAAGAGTTCATGATCTTGATGAGTTATTTACTGTAACATAGTTGATGTACTCTAAGATATAATACACTATTCAGATTTATTAATTATTTCTTTGTAAAAAATTCTTATCTTAATCGAAGTATGACAATAGTACTTCAAGCAGCTTAAAGTTTACAAATACGTATTTGCTATTGCACAACTTCTTATTAATATTTGCTGTCACGCGATACTTTTTATTTCACTTTAATCAGCCTAAGTATAAAAGCTAATAACAACTTAAAATAAACTATTGATGTTTGGAATTTATTAATATTAATCTTTGTTCTTAAATTACTGAACAAGATAGATGGTGCAAAGTGCCTAATATCATTAGCAGCTTTTCGATTATTCTTAAGTAGAATATCTACATGAGGATCGTTCTTATAATATTGACTTGAATTTGGTTTCGTCTTTTTTTCTCTTTTAGATTTGTTTTTAATCTACATTTTTTTGTTTAATTCTACTATGTGGTGATACTTCCATATCTTTTGTTAACTTTATATGCTAAGTAGAGGTATTGATCTTGATTGTCAATATAAAGAATCATAAATGACAAAATTTTTATCTGAAAGAATCTATAATAAAACCAAAATAAAGATTATTGTTATATATAAAATATATTTTATTTAATATATACACTTATTCGCAGTTTAATTAGAGTAATGATGACTTTATTTAAAATATCACAATTTGTACTCTTGTGAGCAATAAGCATTCAGCAATTTTTTGAAATACATAAAGCTCTTTTCCAACTAACATCATAATAAAAATTTTTATTTCCAGCCCTTAAAATTAAATTATTAATATTTTTTTAAAAAAAATAAATAAAATAAAATTTATCAAATTTTATTAGAAATTATTGTCACGGCTGAAGCTGGAAATAGCTGAAGCTGGAAATTAGAGGTCTCGATTTAAAACTATAAGCCCTGCTAAAATCCAACTATACTCTTTTATTATAAACCCTAACCCTAAATTCTAATCTAACTATAAAAAAAAATCGTACAAAATGCATTCCAAAATTTTTTGTAAATTTCATATTAAAATATTTAAAATTTCCAGCTTTAGCCATTTTTAGCTTCAGCCACGACAATTATTATCACAAATACTTTGAACTTTTACTGATTGTGCATTATAAAAGGTTATTCCATTATAGATTTTGCACAGCATATCATGTAAAAGCATGCAAGACTCAAAAATATCATTTAATTCTTTTTTTTTGTCATCAACTGATTGAAGTTTGCCATTTTCGATGATTAAAAATTCAATATTATATTTCAAGTTAGTGACTGTAATATCAGGAATCATTGCTCTCGCTAATTTTTTATCTAAAGTTTTTAAACAATTTCTCCTGTCTTTATTGGCTAGCAGCTCCCTAAATAAGTATAATATCAGATCAGCATTATTAAAGTTTCAATATATTAAAAATTTATATATCTTAGCTCTATAGATAATAGTACAGACTTCAGAGTTTTATTTGATAGTTTGCAGGTAATACGAATAACCATGGCAAAGATAGATCAATTATGCATTAATTATCTTCTTATTTGAACAAGTTCATTTACGAAAAAATTAATTGTCAAACAAGCCTTTTGCAATATTATGCGAAGAATTGGAAAAATTTTTGCTTTCAAAACTAAACTTTCATATTCTAAATTAAATATAATAATTCGGTGAAGACCTTTTGTAGTAAAGTGTATAACTCTGTTTTAATGAGATAATGTGCTTTCAAATACAAGAATAAAAAAGTGAGTTTATTATTCAGGTGAATTTATTGGTTAAATGAGCTACAATTACCACATGACAATCACCAAATAAATTTTGTCAGATCTATATCTTGCATTTTTTTGTTTTGATTTAATACTGATACTGATCAATAAAAAAATTTTACCTACTACCACATTTTCAGTACTTTGTTCTTTGACACTTTTTTTCTATCGTAATATATATAAAATGCTAAGATGAAGTTCAAAAGTTGATTGATGATTTTTCTAACCATAAAGTGAAGATGCTCGGTGAAATTTCTTTAATTAATTTTTTGAACTTTTGCAAGTTTAAACTTGTCAATAAAGGAAGAAAATTAGTGTACAAAGATAAACTTTTAATGCATCAGCTTTATAGTAATAAGCTGAAAGAAATAATATCAGGTATATATACAGTTATTCAAGTTGAAATAAGAATATACGTAAGTGACCTTTTAAATTTTTCAGATAATAATTTAAAAACAATATGGAAAAAAAAGTTTAAGAATGAACAACTAGAAGAGGCTTTAGAACTATTTAAGGTATAGTCATTTAAGTTTAGCTTCTATGCTAGAAATAGTACAATATCCATGATTTTTTTGCATTAGCTAGTTGTTTGCAAT